CATCCGCTTCCTGGATGTGCGCTGCAAGCTGTCACGGGGCGAGCTCCGTGTCTACCACCTCTGCACCTTCCAGCGGGCCAGCCTGCGCGGGGTCCTGCGCCGCACCCTGCGCTTCCTCCGTGCCCACCCTGGCGAGGCCGTGCTCATGCGCATCAAGGAGGAGCTGCCCATCTTCTCCCGGCCCGGCTTCGCTGCCCAGCTGCATCGCTGCCTGCTGGAGGAGGGACGGGGCTGTTTGTGGTGCCAGGAGGAGATGCCAACACTGGGCCAGGTGCGCGGGAAGATTGTGGTACTGGAGGCACTCAGGCGGGAGGTGCTGGGCATCCCCTACGAGCAGCTGAGCATCAGCGATGCCTGGAATGTGCTGTCACTGGAGCGCAAGTGGGCCCGGGTGCGGCAGCACCTGGAGAAGGCAGCTGGCGGGGACTCCACCACCATGTACCTCACCTTCTGCTCTGGCAATGGACTCTTCACCTGCCCTGAGGAGGTGGCCCGCATTGTGAACCCCCGCTGCTACCAGCACCTGCGGCGCCGGGGCAGGCAGCCCGTGCGCTGGGGGGTGGTCATCATGGACTTCCCTGGTGCAGGGCTTCTCCGGCTCATCGTGGAGAGCAACGGCCTGCAGGCCAATGGACACAGCACAGGAGTCCCCAGCACTCCCGCAGCGCCCTTGCAGCATCCCCGCGGCAGAGGGGACAGACGCCGCAGCCGGCACAGCTCCGCTCGCTGCCTGCGCCGGTGCCCATCGGGTCGGACACTGCTCCCGGCCGCACGCCTTTACCGAAGGACATCAGTGCCCGTAGAGCAAAAGCTGGTTTCTAGGTCTCGCAGGGCACCAGGAAGTGTTCGTGTGACAGTGGTGTGACAGCGGCAGAGGCAGCAGAGAGCTGACAGCCCAGTGGTCGGAGCGGGGCAGCCCGGGGAGCTGCGCCTTGAGCATCGCTCTGCCCGGAGGAGCCAGGTACAGCCAAATCCCCACAGCACAGCAGAGAAGGTGGGGAGAGAAGGTCCTGCCTCACCTCCTTTTGGGCCAGTGAGTCCTCCCATAATATCCCTCTGCAAAATAGTCCTTTTGCTTTCAAGGGTAAATAAAAATAAAAAGAAGCTAGGAAAGCACTCCCTATGTTGCCGTACCATTTCCTGTCAGAAAAGTGCAGAAAAGACCTTTTTCTCTTGCTGCTCAGATATGAAGGAGTCTCTACCCCTCTGCCCATGGCCAAAGCACAGTTAAATTGGTGTCTGTGATCATCTTGGTCTTTAAAGCAGAGCTGCAGGAGGTCAGAGGAGAAGGAATTAATTTCAAAGATGACAACAAAGGGAATGTCCTTCTCCTTGTTATTTTAGCTTTTGTTTTCTTCTTGCAGGGGCTTGCCCCAAAAGTCAGGACTCTTAGGGAGAGCCAGCTTCAGCAAGTGCTGCCAACCCTGTGCATGGACAGCTGGATGGCCACAGCAGCAGTGATTCCAAAGGGGCTGCCCTGTCCCCAGGATCAAACAGACAGGGGATGCTGCACAGGGCAGAGCCCAGTGATTTGCAACAGCATGGGCAGGGCAGTTTGTGGATTCACAAAAGCAAAGTGATTGGGACATAAAAAAGACCTTAAAACCAGTGCCAGTGCCTGCCCTATCTGCAGATAATAAATCAGCAATTTAAATAGAATGGCAAGTCAAATGACACAGAAGTTCCTTGGAGCAAAAGGATAACCAAGATCCCAGGGGAGAAATCATCAAACTGCTCTGTGCTGAAGGAGGGAGCTGGGAAAGAGAAGAGGAACTTTTTTAAAAGAGGAAAGCTCAGCCCTGGCCTGCCAAAAGATGAAGGATGTCCTCAAGGATACTTCTGTCTCAGAGGAAAACACAGTGCCTGCCAGAGGGGATGCCGCAGGATTTCCTGGCTGGAGGAGGGGATGTTTTTTGCTCCACAGGCTGGCCCTGGCTGGAGACACAGCTCTTGGTGCTGAGCATGTTCATCTGCTGGGCCAGGGAGGGGAACAGGCAATAGTAGGCAGTGGGTGACAGAGGTGGCAGACAGAGGAATCTGTCTCTGAGCTTGCTCTGTGAGACAGGAGAAGATTGAAATCTCTGCATTAAAACAGACATGTGACAAAAGCACTGGTCATGTTTGGGGGGATGGGAGCCTACTCTGTCAGCTGCCAATGACTCCACCACCCTGCCTCTGCGCCAAGCCAGTGTGACAGCTCTAGGTATTGCTCTCATGCCAAGCAGATGGGTGCTGCCAAGAGAGGGCCAGGCAGGTTAGTGGTTGGCTCGGCATTCCAGGGGTGCACAATGCCATGGGGAGCTAGGCAGGGCACAAGCAGAGCAATCACAGTTCCCAGGAGTAGCTCTGCAGGCTGGGTGATTCTGCTGTCACTTAGGGCAAGGACTGCCTGCATGGCTGAAGGGCTGCCCCTGGATGTGGCACATGGAGCTGCACTCCAGCACCCCATACCCACCCTGTGCCCCAGCTCACTGGCAGGGCAGGGGTGCTGGGATTCCCCAGGTGGGCAGAGTCACTTGTTTACACCCTACCACACAAGCAGTGAGATAAGGTCAATGTTACCTACGCCCCTGGCATCCTGTTTGGCAAAGCCTTATCTGTGCCACCCACGTGTGGCTGCTGCCAGGTACCAGGGAGCAGCAGGCAACATGGGCAGGGCTACCCAAGTGGCAGTGATGCCCAGTGAAAAGGCTCTCCATCACTGCCTTGGCAGTGAAAGACAAGAGGCAGAGAGCTGTCCTACAGCTGAGATCAAAGAAACATCTCTGAGAGGGACAAGGGTGGGCAGGAGTGATTTCCCCAAAACTAACCCCCTATTCCACAGCCAGGGCTGTCCCAGTGTTGCAAGGTCCCTGTGGGTGGGGGGTGTAGGGTACCACTGTCCTTGGACTGTCTTGGAAACATCCCTGTCCATCTGGTTCTGACTAATCCTTGCAACCATCTCACCCCTCCAGTCCAGGGTGGCAGTCATAATGCATCTCCCTGTGGCCAAACACTTCCAAATTGTGAGAAAGTTTTTATTGGGTGCTGCTCTCCTCCAGGATCATCCGAGGAGGGTCTGGCTGCTGGGGTTGTGCACCAGGTGCCACGCTGGGAGACTTGTTCGAAGGCACCCTGCAGATCAGGGACAGCCTTTGGGTCTAACATTCCCTGGGGACCTGGGGAGGCAGGGGAATCATCTGCTTCCCGTGCTCAGGAGATGCCTCTAAAGCTTCAGAGGGAGCTGTCCGAGTTCCCAAGGAGGAACAGAGGGATAGCAGCAATGAGGCTGCATCCCAGGGGTGTGGGTCCTCACTGGTACCATGCTACACTCCCAAAGGGGTGCCATCGGGTGCCTCCTTGCTCCAGTGGGCTGCTGAGCCCCCCCCCGGGGGCAAGGGGGGCTCCCCAGGAAGGTGCCCCCTCTATCGCCGGCAGCAGCCGAGCCGGACGGGCTGTGCCAGGGTGACTCGGTTCCTCTGCGGTTCCTCTGCGGGGACATTGCACAAGGAGGGGAGCAGGCTGTGCCACCGTGGGGCGGGAGCCTCTGCTGTAAACAACACATACCCGTGCCCGTTCCCCAGAGACAGAGCCTGCGGCAGATCTCTCACGGGAGAGAGAGCATTGCCTCTGTCTGTTGCTCAGCGCTGGGGCACAGTAAAGGAGGCACATTTCCATTCCAGATCCCTGCGTCCAGAGGGACAGTGAGGAGGTAACACAAGAAAGTATCTTTGTACCTGCTCCCTCGAGTACATGCTGAGCAAAGCCCTGGCTTGGAGCTTGCGCTCTGCCCTCAGAGGGGTGGGCACAGGGTGCACCATCTTTCCACCTAGGGAATCCCTGCACTGCTCAGGCAGGGACAGGCCCTTCCTTGGTAAGGGAGGCAGCAGGAATCCAATGGGAGCATGTGTCCTGCAGCATCCTGAATCCCTTCCAGGGAAGCCAACCTTGGAAATCATCTGAGATGTGAAAGGGCTCCTGGCCATTAACCAACTCCCAGCAGAGCTGATTTGGGTCTTCTCTTCCTCGTACCATGTGTACCTTTTTCCACTACCTGCAAAGCAACCCTCAGTATCTGTCCTGCCATGTAGGACCCCCTCTCTGAGCCCAGGTATCTGTGGGCATGGAGTACCCGATCCCACAAAGTGCTTTGAACTTGGCCATGTACTGCCATGTATTTTGCAGCAGCAGCAGCTGCCTCTGAGTGTCAGCCACCTTGATTCTGCTTTTAGAACAATACCAGAAACTATTTGTAGTTACAAAAATAAAGGTGGGAATATTTTTTTTCTACTACTCTACCCTACTGTGTTGGGTTTCAGCAGAAGTGAAACTGGCAGGGGCACTGCCTGCTCTCTCCTTGGGCCACACACCCACAAACACCTCTGTAAGTCCCAGCAGGTGTCTCATCAGTGGGAGAGGCAGTTCCCACCCTGGCCAGCTGACCCTCAGCATTTGAAGATGCTCTCCTGTCCCAGCAGCTGCCCCTCAGCCTCTCTGCCTGCCTCTCCTGTGCCATAATTGACCACCCTCAGCAGATGAGCTGATAGAAAGCGAGTGCTCCTGAATTACTGGACATACAGACTCATCCCCAGTAATTCCATAGAAATAGACAATTGCAGTAAAACATGATGCAAGGAAGATATCCAGAGACAGGAACTGAGTTTCATTTGTATTGGTCAAGTGTAAAGTAATTAGTGGGTTATGACTTTTGTGGGATGGGTTCCTCCTTTTGTTTAGAATGAGTCCCAGTGGAGCAGAATCAATTTCTTTGGAACCGGAAGATAAATGTGACCTGCATGGCTCTTGCTTGGTTTTAGCTGGAAGTGAGCAGAGTAATTCCTACAGAAAACCCTGCCAAGGCAGTTTTACGTATGAGCAGAATGGGGTAAGGAAAGATTTGTTATGATTCAAGAATGATCCAAGGGGAGGTGGACGCAATTAGGCATTCCTGAAACTCTGGTGGAAGTTTCTAATGGAAATTAAGAAGTCAGGGGAAGTTCCTCTGGCATATTATTGGACCTTTCTTATAAAGATAAGGACTGGAAAATACATTGTGTAAGTAACTGTTTATAAACAGTATATGAGGATTCACAGCCAGAACAAAACTGCATGCAAGGAGAGCATCCAGCATGAGAGCTGGGAGGCTGTGAGCCACGCTCCCACTCAGCCCCTGTGGGACCTCATCACACCTCATCCCTCCTCTGTCTCCCAACCACCGGCGTGGATGCTGCCACATGGACATGGTGGGTCAGAGAGGTCTTGGTGCCCCAGGCACCATGGGCTGGGGTTGAACCCTTCCTGGGGGACCTTTTTCCACCTCCTGGGGGGCTTGGGCAATTCTGGCTGGTTGTGGGTCAGCTCCTGTGCTTGTCACATTCTTATGGCAGTGTGGGGATGCACTCAGCTCCCATGCCATGGGGCTGATGCTGAGCTGAGTCCCACCAGGGCTATGGCCAGTGGGGAACCTGCTGTTCCCTTCCAGCCCCAGGTGAGAGAAGGGTTTCTTGGGGTGGGAGAGCCCTGTGGTGCGGGAGGCGGTGATGTGGGGCAGGATGAGGGCTGGCAGTGGGGCCGGGGTGGGAGGGGAAGAGGCCAAGGGCAGGGAACGATGCTCTGCAGGCTCAGAGGAAGTGTGAGCACCGCTGCCTGCCGGGGACCACACACGCCTGGCACTGCCACTGGCTGGGCAAGGCGTGTCTGCAGCACCACCATGGTAGGTCCTGCTCCTTTCCTTGGGGATGACTCAGGGTCTGCCTGGAAAAGGGGATTTGGAGGAGGGCAGGGCTATGGGCAGGCACTGAGAGGAATCAGTGCCACTGTCAGGGGCTGTGGGACACACACAGGCTGCTCCAGAGACACCCTGCCCGGGTGACCCCAGGCACACAGGGCACTGCCAGGCACACAGGGCACTGCCACTGCAAGGCAGATGCCAGCCCTGGCTGAGCAGGAAGGGCTGGGAGGCCACAGGACATGCCCTGGATTTAGGGACTCCGCAGGAGTGAACTGCATTGCCAGCAGTGTCTCCCTCGCTGCTCAGCTGTGCTGCAGGCACAGTCCCCCAAAGTGCCTCCCTAGAAGGGCCCTTTCTGCAGCAGAGCCATACCTGGCAGCACCATCCATGCCTGTGTGTGAGCTGGCACAAGAAATGTGCCCTCATGTCCACCAGGACTGCCTGGCAGCACTATGGGTGTGTGTGAGCCTCTTGGGAAGTGCGTGCTCACATCTCCCTCCCTGTCAGGGCACTGCTATGGGACTGCAGTCTGCTGGGAGGACATGGACTCTGGGCTCTCTTGGCATCTACCTGGGCATCGCTGCCATCACATGGGGTAAGTCACCCACCGCCCGCTCGGTGAGCCCCGTGTCACCCTGCTGCAGGTCTGGGAAACTGGAGCAGGGCAGCTCCAGTGTTATTTTGGAGGGTCATCAGTCACAACCCTTGTGGCTGCCAGCTCCCGGGCTGGATCCTCCTGGGCTGGGAGGAGGCTGTGTCTGCTCAGGCCAGCTTCCTCCAGGCAGTCCACGCTCCCCCAGGGTAAGCTCGGCTGCATGTGGGGTCCTTGCAGGGTGTCTGGTTCCCCACATGCAGCATGGCAGCTGCTGCACCCTACTGTGAACTGGAGAAAGGCAGCAGCAGCTCTACCCACTGCCTACACCCACGCCTGTGCTGCAGAGTTGGGCATGGACACGGGCACAGGACACACAGGTGCAAGGGTTGGGAGCACAGCTGGGGCAGCACCACACAGAACTAGAGCTGCTAATTGACATCAGGAGGAGAAATCAGAGTAGAAAAGAGTTTGGTTTTGCTGCCTGTAGGATATTTCCTTCACATGCTGGCATTGCACAGAGCAAAACCTGCTGTTGACTGCTCTGTCCCTGGAAATCCTCTGTGAGCTGAATTATTTTCCAAAGGACCTTTCATGACTGAGCTAAGGAACAGAAATGAGGCAAATGCAGAAGTGTTAGGAGGAGATTTAGCTCTGAGGGGAAAACAAAAATGGAAAGACAGCTGGAGTGTGGAGGGTGCTGAGCACCACCCTGGGAAGAGGTATCAGGGCTGCCAAGGGAGCCAAGGGGTTGGCTGGGGAGTCAGTGAGGGCCAGGAGGGGGCAGTGGGAACTGAGGATGGGGCAGGCTCCCAGAAAGTGCCCTGAGCTCCTGTCCTGGAGCCCCAAATTCCCAAAAGGGAAAGATGAGGGCTGTAGTGGGAAACCACATTTTCCTCAGCTTCAGTTTTTGTTGAACAAAGTGGATAGTTTGCTCTTTCACAAGGAAAACTAGACAAATTATGAGAATTTACTTAGAAAAATATATAATTATTGGCCAAACTACAGCTCTAATTAGACTTGAGAAGCCCTAAATTTGCATCTATTCTGTGATGCCCAGACCTTTGTATAACTGCAGTGTGGTGTGCTCTCCTGAGACACAAGGCACCCCAGGCTGGTTGTTTGGAGCAGGCTTTTATTCCCATATCACTTTCTGACAAATGAAAATATGAATACCATATCACTTTCAGCTGTTGTGGAGATATCTACTTTTGGGGAGAAGGGGGGAAGCTTCTTTTTGTGGCTAAAACCCTTTGATTGCGTAAAGTTGTGGTGTGAAATGCAGTAAATAAGAGCAGGGTTTCAGCAAAGTGTCCTTCACTTGTGGCTATGGGTTCCAGTTAATCTCTGGCCATGCCCTGCCTGGTAGGCATGACCAGGATGTGAGTTTGACTTTTGTAAGATCTTGTTTTGCAACACTGAGTTTTACAAGACTCCTCAGACCATCTCTAGCTCAGATGAGCAGGTTGGGATCCAAATGCTTTTGGGAGTGAGGGCATACCTGTTGCTCTGCCTTGCTCCAATCTGACTCTGATGTAACACTGTAAAGGAAGAAAACCAAAGTGGCACACTTCTGCACTCAAGGAAGGAACCGTGTTTAAGGAACCGTCTTGAAGCGGGGTTTTCCCCTTTGGGAAACTTTTTTGTGGGCAGGGGAACAGGGCCATGGGGCTGGGTTTTCAATACTTGTGTTGGAGAAGGGGTTGGCATCACCACTTGGGGTCCTTCTGCCACCTGCACTCTGCCTGCCCCATGTTGCCCACTGTCTCAGCCTTCACCCTGTCTCCCCCATCTTCCTCATCCCTGTGCCATCCCCTTGTTTTCAGTTCCTTCTGCCATGCCTGATCTACCCAGGTTTCCATGTACCCTTAGAGCCCCATTCTCATCCACATTTGCCCTTTCATCCCATCTCCTCACTCAGCTGATCACTGGCCAGGCTTAGACCACCCTCATGCCCTAAGGGATCCCATCCCTGACCTGGCTTCATCCTTTCTGCATTGATCCCAGACTTCACCTTCTCTCACAGGCATGGTGTTGTGGGAGGAGGTGGATGCCTGGAAGTACTACTACAGTGACCGAGGGGACTACACATGGGACCAGGCCAGGAATTACTGCCAGACCTTCTTTACCGACCTGGTGGCAATCCAGAACAAGGAGGAGATTGAGTACCTCAACGAGAACCTGCCCCGCCATGGGACCTACTACTGGATTGGCATCCGCAAGCTGGGAGGCATCTGGACCTGGGTGGGCACCAGGAAGGTTCTGACAAAGGAGGCAGAGAACTGGGCAGTTGGGGAGCCCAACAACCGCCGCTCCAACCAGGACTGCGTGGAGATCTACATCAAGCGGAAGGAGCAGTCGGGCAAATGGAATGACGAGCCCTGCAGCCGGAAGAAAAAGGCGCTGTGTTACAAGGGTTAGTAGGGGGACTGTGGCCCAGACCTGGATTGGGTGGGCTGGGGACCACCAGGGTGGCCAGCAGCTCCTGATGACCATCCTCTGTGTGTGCAGCCTCCTGCCAGCCCTCCTCATGCAGCCAGCGCGGCGAGTGCGTGGAGACCATTGGGAGCTACCGCTGCGAGTGCTACCCCGGCTTCCACGGCCCCGAGTGCCAGTATGGTGAGCCATCCATACCCATCCTTCCCTCCCTGCTGGAGAGCCTGAGCCTTGGTGGCAAACTGGGCAAGTTCCCTGTGCTCCTAACGGGCTGGCAGTGATGTATCTCTCCCAGTTGTGCAGTGTGCTGAGCTGAAGCCCAAGGGAGCGCACATGAACTGCAGCCATCCCTACGGAAACTTCAGCTACAACTCCACCTGCATGTTTGGGTGCCAGGAGGGGTTCAAGCAGCAAGGGATGGGCACGCTGCGGTGCCTGCCTTCCCAGGAATGGTCAGCAGACATCCCCATCTGCACAGGTAGGACCTCTCAGGGCCTGGGAGTCTCAGGGATACAGCACTGATGCTTTAGGGGGACCAGCACTATGTGCCCAATGCTGCTCAGGCAAGTCTTGCCATGCCCTGCCCTTTGTGGAAGCATCTCCTGGTGCTGATGCAGGAGGCGATTCCCTCATGAGGCTGCAACGAGCAGAGCAGCTGTGAGCTCTGGATAAGCCCCCTGCTCTGCCTGGCTGTCCCAGTGCCCTTGCTCGCTGTCCTGAATTCCACCCAGATGTCAGCACCCTTTGTGCACTAAGCAAGGGGTCAGGATGCTGTCTTAGCACCTCTGTCAACCCAGTGGCACAGTCTTCATCTCTCCAAGCCCACTCTGATCTGCCTTGGAAAGGTGCTTGGCACCTTGAAGGTCCTCAGAAAAAAGAGGGGCTGCTGTCCTGCAGCCAGGGGAAGGGGGTATCTTGGCAGGCCACATCAAGCCACCTTGAACGGGGACAAGGACCCATGAAATGAGGTTAGATATAAGCTGGGAGGGACAGAGCGTGGCAGGAAGCCACAGAGGAGAGAAAGCTGTGGTGTGTTATGCTGCAGGGGCAGGGAAAGTCTTCCTGTTGGTGGTTTGAGGGCTTGCAGCCAGGCCCCACGCGTCCCAGGGAAGTGCTGAGCTTTTTTGGGGATGTGAGAGCCTTGCTCCACCTTTCCTGTGCTGCAGCCTTGCGCAAGGATGGGATGAGCCAAGGACTGGAGCAGACATGGGACGCAAGTGGGGACCCTCTCTACTGGGAGACCCAGCAGAAACTGCCAGGGGCCAAACAGCATCTCTGTACATATATTCTTAAAAAAGAAAGCCTGCCTTGAAGTTAGTGCTGCTAATGATGCCTGTGCAAGGTGTGCCTGTAGTCCAACCTGGTGCTTACTTTAGGCACCTGAGACCAACAAAACTTTCTGCAGTTAAGACAACAGCCATGGAGCTGTGATGTGATTCGCTGTAGTCATCATCCCCAGCAGGGGCAGGAGCTGGCTCCCAATTTTGTGGAAGTCCCCCCAGGCAAGCTAGGCTGTGCCTGCCTGCTCCAGGCTTTTCAAATTCCCAGAGGCTTGTTTTCCCAGCCCCTTGTTTTTTTCCTGCTGGCTGTATGTATGATTGATTCTTGTTTCTTGCAAAGAATCAGATGAGTCAGACGGTTGCTTGTGATAACAAAGCAGTGTTAGTGAGCATTGCCAGTTGGGCTTACTCCAAAAATGAGCAGAGGTTCCTGCTGTGGCGAGGCTGATGGTGCTGTGAGGGCTGTGAAGGACAAGGCTGCCTGCTGTCTCAAACCCTGCCCTGTGCCTGCCTGCAGCTGTTGCATGGTCATTGTTGGCCCAAAAAGGGGCTGGATCACTTGCTCCCATCCGCATGACATGTTCACCAATAGACACCTCTGGGAATTCTGTGGGAAACCAGACTTGCCTGTAAAACAGCTACGAAAGGAAAAGTCTACCTAGGAAAGTATTTGGTGTTGGTCTGAAAGCCGAAGGTACAGTAGATGGGGTGTGTTTCAGCTGGGCTGGGTGATGGGGGTGTTAAATGTCCTCCTGGCACTAACCTGCAGTGGTCCTGCAGGCAGCAGAGCCACTCACCCCAGCAAATGCTGGGTGCTGCCCTGGCATGCAGCAAAGCGCATCCTGGCCACAGCCTGGGGACGCTGGCACACCACCCTTGTAGCCATTGCCGTCATCCCATCTGGTCCTCTACAGCCCCAAAGCCATTCCCCTGCCACTGTGACAAGGATAGAGTCAGGTCTCTGCTCCAATAAAGGAAGGGAGGCAAGTAGACTGCAGCAGGTGTGGTCCTACATCCCAGGGCCTTCAACGCAGGGTAGTGCAAGGGATAAACAGGGCTCTTGCAGAGCAGCAATTGTGTGCCCCCCAGCAAATCACTCGTAGGGCAGAAAAAGCATTGTACCAACTACTGTTTTTGAAGAGGTGAGTCTGGGTGAGAAAGGCAAGCTGAAGACATATGACCACAGCTTTGGTTTCCTTTGATTTGGATTCAGCCCTAATCCTTAGATTTAACCTCATCTATTCTGTCTCTGAGACTTGCTCTCCCATTGCAGCCATCACCTGCCCAGTGCTCAGTGCTCCAGACCAGGGAGAGCTGAACTGCTCCCACCTCCACGGAGACTTTGCCTTTGGCTCCACGTGTGCCTTCTCCTGCCAGACAGGGTTTGCACTCACGGGGTCAGAGAGCCGCCAGTGCACAGCCATGGGGACATGGACAGGGGATGCCCCACGTTGTGAAGGTAGAGCTGCTGCCAGAGTGCAGGGTGTCATTTGCCTTGGGATGACGGTGTGATATTCCCCAGCCCCTTGGTCCCAGAATTTTAGTCTCCCAGTTCCCAAGCTTCTGCTTGAAGTGTACCTCTTCATTCTGCAGCCATTGCCTGCCCAGTGCTCAGTTCTCCAGACTGGGGAGACATGAATTGCTCCCATCTCCACGGCAATTTCACCTTTGGCTCCACGTGTGCCTTCTCCTGCCAGACGGGGTTTGTGCTGATGGGGCCGGAGCATCGGGAGTGCACGGCCATGGGGACATGGACTGGAGACATCCCACGCTGTGAAGGTATTGCTGCTGCTTAAGCTGTCACAGGCCTCTGGTTGACCATGGAATGTTCTCCGGTGTCATGGTCCTTTCATTCCAACAGTTTGTCCTTGTACTCCCCAGACTCCTGCTTGAAGTGTGTCTCTGTCCTTTCAGCTGTCACCTGCCCTGTGCTCAATGCACCAGACCAAGGAGAGTTGAACTGCTCCCATCTCCATGGGAACTTCACCTTTGGTTCTACATGCGCCTTCTCCTGCCAGAAAGGGTTTGTGCTGATGGGGCCAGACATCTCTGAGTGCATGGCCACAGGGACCTGGTCTGAAGACACTCCCCGCTGTGAAGGTAGAGCTACTGCTAGAGCTCAAGGTGTCATTGGCCTTGGGGTCACACTTGGGTTTTTCCAAGCCTCTCAGATTGAACAGTTTAGCCTCATAGTATCTAGGATCCTGCTTGAAGTTTTTCTCTATCCTTGCAGCCATTGCCTGTCCAGTGCTCAATGCTCCAGACTGGGGAGAGCTGAACTGCTCCCATCTGCATGGGAACTTCGCCTTTGGCTCCACGTGTGTCTTCTCCTGCCAGATGGGGTTTGTGCTGAAGGGGTCAGAGACCCGTGAATGCATGGCCACAGGGACCTGGACAGGGGATGCCCCACAGTGCAAAGGTAGAGTTGCTTCTCGAAGTGTCACAGGCCTTGGAGTGACCATGGGATGCTCTTGGGTGTCTTGGTCCTCTCATTCCAACAGCTGAGCCACGTAGTCCACAGACTCTTACTTGAAATGTGCTTCTTTACCCTGCAGCCATCACCTGCCCAGTGCTCAGTGCTCCAGACCATGGAGAGCTGAACTGCTCCCACGTCCATGGAGACTTTGCCTTCAGCACCATATGTACCTTCTCCTGCCAGATGGGGTTTGCACTGATTGGGTCAGAGAGGCATGAGTGCATGGCCACAGGGACATGGACAGGGGATGCAACACGATGTGAAGGTAGAGCTGCTGCTCAAGGTGTCTTAGGCCATAGGTTGACCTGGGATGTTCTTCAGTGTTTTGGTCCTTTCATTGTAAGAGTTTAGCATTCTAGTCCCCAACCTCCTTCCTGAACTGTGCTTTTTTGCCATGCAGCCATTGCCTGCCCAGTGCTCAGTGCTCCAGACCAGGGAGAGCTGAACTGCTCCCACCTCCATGGAGACTTCGCCTTTGGCTCCACGTGTGCCTTCTCCTGCCAGACAGGGTTTGCACTCATGGGGTCAGAGAGCCGCCAGTGCACAGCCATGGGGACATGGACAGGGGATGCCCCACGTTGTGAAGGTAGAGCTGCTGCCAGAGTGCAGGGTGTCATTTGCCTTGGGATGATGGTGTGATGTTCCCCAGCCCCTTGGTCCCAGAATTTTAGTCTCCCAGTTCTCAAGCTCCTGCTTGAAGTGTACCTCTTCATTCTGCAGCCATTGCCTGCCCAGGGCTCAGTGCTCCAGACTGGGGAGAACTGAACTGCTCCCATCTCCATGGCAATTTCACCTTTGGCTCCACGTGTGCCTTCTCCTGCCAGACGGGGTTTGTGCTGATGGGGCCGGAGCGTCGGGACTGCACGGCCATGGGGACATGGACAGCACATGCCCCACGCTGTGAAGGTAGAGCTGCTGCCAGAGCTCAGTGTGTCGTTGGCCTTGGGGTGGCACTAGGATGTTCCCCAGCCCCCTGGTCCCAACACTGTAGTATCCTGGGCTCCTTTCTGAGGTGTGCCTTTTTACCCTTGCAGCCATCAAATGCTCAGCACTGACCACCCCGAAGATGGGCCAGGCTTCCTGCTCCCACCCACTTGGGGACTTCACCTTTGGCTCCAGGTGTGCCTTCTCCTGCCAGAAAGGGTTTGTGCTGATGGGGCCAGAAAGCCGCAAGTGCACAGCCATGGGGACCTGGACTGGGGACACCCCACAATGCAAAGGTAAATCTCATGATCTCACACCTGTCTGGGAGTGCTCTGTTGCAGCAGACTGCTTTCCCCAGTGCCTCAGTCTATGTCAGTTCATCCCCTGGCTTCCCAGCCCAAGTGTCCCTGTCTCACTACCATCAGTCCTGTCCTCTAATACTGCTGCTGTGCTTTATCTCCAGCCATCAGCTGCCCAGTGCTGGCCCCCCCCAGCCGAGGCCAGCTGAGCTGCTCTCACGTGCATGGGAACTTCACCTACAACTCCACGTGCACCTTTTCCTGTGAGGAGGGGTTTGTTCGGATGGGAGCAGAGGTGCTCTGGTGTGAGGCCACAGGGAACTGGACCAGGCATCCTCCTGTCTGTGCGGGTATGGTGGGACCCCTGCTCCTCTAGTGCTGCGGGGGGGTCCAGCTTTCTTGCAAATGCATCTTGAATGTGGTGAGGGCGCTCCAGGGGCTGAGAAGTCCTGGCAACTTTCTAACTTGGGGGTTTGTGGATCTGTTTCAGAGGATGGTGCCTTCTTAAAGCAAGTCCTGGCTTACAGCAGTGGCACAGCCCTGACAGTAGCTGGTCTTGTGCTCTCTGGGGGGCTCATTGCCATCCTTGCCAAGCGCCTCAGTGACAGAGGTATGGAAACACCTCCCACAGCCCACAATAGCTTTGTCCTGGGGCTCTCAGGCAAGGTGGTTACCCTGGGGAGGGTGGGACAATCAGAAGAGTTTAACAGTGTGACTGCCTCAATCCAAGTGTCTTATTTGCTGCAAGTTGCATGGTTTCGTGGCAGTTTGTTGAGCTGAAAGTGTCAGCAGCCAGCTTTGGAGGGCAGAGCCAGATAAACACCCTCATTGTGAAGAAGACAGGAAATGCTTCTGCCCCTCCCCACTCCATCCCATACTTCTGCTCTAGCTTCTCATGATCTTCACTAAACATCTGTTTTTTTCTTTTCTATCTGTTCTGTCCCCATGGATATTTCAACACCATTATCAGAGGAGAAGAAGAAGCTCCTGAACCCCACCAGGTGAGAGCCATTCCCTGTGACTCTCACAGCCCAGTGGTCACTGTTGTCACTCAGATCTGCCTGTGTGAGGCTGCTTTTATATGCAGTGGGAGCATCTTGGGGGCTGACAGGGCTGTGTTAACACCTGCCCTTCACACACTCCTGCACTGTCCAAGGTGACACCCTTGTGTTTGCCCTGCAGTGACCTAGGATCACCAGGCATCTTCACCAATGCAGCGTATGATGCCAACCTGTGAGGTGAGTGCTGTCAAGACACTCACAGCACCCTGTTCAAAATTCACCTGAGCAGCCATCCTCCTGGCTGGAGTGCTCCCAGGTGGGGACACCCTTGGGGACCAAAGTGGGTAACTCCAGCTCCATCTCTTCTGTGCTTCCAGCCTGCCCATGACTGAACCCCACTGTGTCCCCCAGTGCTGCAGGCCCAGCAGGAGCTGCTGGTGGGGCCCAGAGGGACTCCATGCCTAGAGCTGCAGCCCGGACCAGCACTGCCTGTGGAGACTGTGCCCACACTGCACATACCACCAGGAGGGGAAGCTGCCTCCAGGAAAGGTGGCTGGAGACCTGTCTGGGGCCATGGGCCACTGTCTCATGTGGGCAGCCTGCTGCTCGACCCGTGGACATTCCCTGTGAATTTGGACATTCCCCCTCAGCTGCCCCAGGGACAGGCTTGTCAGCAGGGCCCAAATAAATGCCTGTGTCCAACCAGTGTCTCTGTGTGCTTGGGAGGGGGGGAAGGTCTCCATCAAATAGTGTGGCCAACAGGACCAGGGAAGTGATTCTTCCCCTCTACTCGGTACTGCTGAGGCTGCACTTCCAAGTACTGTGTCCAGCTCTGGGCCCTTCAATTCAGGAAGGACATTGAGGTGCTGGAGCAGGTCCAGAGAAGAGCAACAAGGCTGGTGAAGGGACTCAAGCACAAGTGCTGTGAGGAGAAGCTGAGGGAGCTGGGGTTGTTCAGCCTGGAGAAAAGGAGGCTCAATGGAGACCTCATCACTCTCTACACCTCCCTGACAGGAGGTTTTAGCCAGCTGGGGATGGTCTCTTCTCCAGGGCAACTAGCAACAGGATGAGAGGACACAGTCTTAAGCTGTACTAGGGGAGGTTCAGGTTGGATATTACAAGGAATTTCTTCCCAGAAAAGGCGATTAGACATTGGAATAGATTCCACAGGGTGGAGTCACCGTCCCTGGAGGTGTTTAAGGAAGGAAAGACTGGATGTGGCACTCAGTGCCAAGATGGTGTTGGGTCACACATTGGACTCAGATCCCAGCTGACTCTGTGACTCCGGGGGGTGGGACACCGATCCGGGCCCCTGTGAGCCCCGTGCGGGGGGCCCCGCTTTCCGGCGCTCCGGGCCCACGCCCCGCGCAGTGTCCGCGGCGGGCCGCCGTTCGGGGGCGGTGGCTTGCCGGAAAGCAGACGTCTTGTGTTTCGGGAGAAAGGGAAGCCGATGGCGGCGGCCCAAGGCCGAGTGGGGAGCCGGGCGGGCTGCTTGCCCGCCGCGCGGGGGCGGCCTGGACTGGGGTAGGCGGGCTGGGGCCGGGGCGGCGCGGGCTGCCCGGCGGGTCGGGCCGGGCGCTTGAGCCCCTTGTCTCTCCCGCAGAGGCGGCTTGTGGCGAGAGAGCTGAGAGCGAGCTGCTGGGGCCGCGGCCGAAGACCGAGCACCGAGCGTTGAGTTACCGGGAGGGACGGGGGGCTTGCGGGGCCGGGCTGCCGTTCAGGCCAGGGGGGTGACCCGCGGGGGTCCCCCCGGGGCAGCCCGGCAGGAGGACCGTGGTTTCCCGGCCTTCACCCTGCGTGAGTCATGGGGATATCGATCGCTTAACAAACTGTGGGTCTCAAGGCCGGAGGTTGAAGGTGTAAAGGGGAGAGTCCAAGGTGAGAGCTGGCGGTGCCGTGCCCAGGAGGTGCCGTGCCCAGGAGGGGCGGTGCTGTCGCTGCCCCAGGGAAGGCGAACCCCGCAGGGCAGCGCTGCGGGAGGGGAGAAGCGTGGGCGCCTTACACCTGCATCCACCGGGGCTCGGCTTTACCACCCTGCCTGTTAGATGGCTTCGTGTTTTCTTCTTTACTGTAGGATTTCCTCCAAAAACTTTCGCTTGCAACCTTATGCATTAATCCCCGTATATTTTGCTGTCCAGCTGCACATACCACTTTTTCTTTCCCGGGGCAGCTGTCTCGTGGATTCTCCATTCCATATTCTTCCTCTTGCCTTCTCTGTGCTCACTGTGTCCTGACTCATCTCCAGCACAACCCCTGGGTAATCCAACATAAATCTCAGGCACTAAGAGCCTTCCTACAGGTGTTGTAGAGCCACTGACTGGAGAAAACGTTGGAACTGCATGATTGTACAAGGGAAAGGTAGTGCCCGTCAGCAGGTTGGCATTAGTTGCCTGTGTGGAGGCTCTTACTGCACAGCTTGGGCTGTGGGTTTTTGTCATTCTTCCTATCAGTGTACTCTGATGAGTTTTCTCTTCATTCTAACTTGTAAGTAGTAACATCTGTGCAGACTTTTTGAGCCTCTCTTTACGGCCAAGTTGAGAATGTAAGGAAAAGCTACACTTACAGGATGGTTTTTACTAAGAAAATCTTTGCCGTGTGTTTGTGTGAGTTGGGTATGTCATGTTTGTTTTTTTCATGCAAGTGCTCATAAAATACCACATTTGCATAGAGAACTGGGACTTACAGATGCACAAGCACAAAAAATGGAGCAAAACTCCCAATTGTTGTTTCAAAGGTCCCATGATAAATCATATGTATGAAGTGATTTTAATCTTTTTTTCTTGTTTGTTTCTTTTTATTTTTGTTGGAAAAGGAAATTGGGGTCCGTGGCTTTAGAAAATGATGATGTCAGTTTATTCAAATATAGGGTGACCTTATATATACTGTTCATCAAGTCTTAAACAAATCAGTACTTGTGTCTCTTTTCCTTCTGGTAAACCATCCCTAATGGTGCTTTTGTTTATAAGATGCTTTGAGATGTAATGATGGAAGGACATTAAATAAATTTTTCAAGGCAGACCTGTGTTTTATTTGAGGTGGTTCAATGAGTGGACTTAGAATTTTTGGTTTAGAAACTACCGATAAGGGTATGATAATTAGTGATGGTCTTAAACTGACATGCTCCTTTCCTACAGGTCTAAGGTTTAAAATAAGCCTTGTCTTGTATGTTCCAGTTGAGAAATTCTCCTTTAAGGACTTTTATCTCTGCGTGCCTTAAGGCAACTGAAGTGATAGTTGTATTGTTCTGGTTTGTTTTCTGGAGCTGTAAGAATGTGCACATAATGGTTGGTGGTGTCAATATATCTTTCTTTTTGTCTTGTCTCTTTTTCTGAACTGTCATTTCAGGAAAATGATCTCTATAACTTTCATTTTGATTTGGATTTGATGTCTTGGGACTCAGACCTTTGGAATATTACAGGCCATGCTTATACAGGTAATTAATCTTCTGTATTTTGCAGGTGTGACTCTTACCCCTCTGCCCCACAAGGGTGAGCTGTTACAACTTAGTGGTAACTTATGTGAAGCTATTCACTTCCCTACAGCTGTGTTATGAGAAGTTGTGCTGTGTAGGGCAGGTACAGCTGGCAAGGACTGCCCTACAAGCTAAGCTGTTTAGTACCTTTAGTTTCACTATGTTTTCTGCTGTGCTTTGCTTCAGGAATTAGATAGCTGGTGTAGAGCAGTGTGTGTCCTTTACTGATCTCTCCTTGCTAAAAACTTGTGCAGTAAAATTTCCTTATCTGCCTCTTGCAGATGACAGTGTGAAGACAGAACCCTTATCACCAGCCACTTCAAACTGTTCGGTCCCTTCTCCGTCGTCTGTGGACTCTCCAGTGCAGAATGTGCCTGTATGCAGAAACCTCCATGTGATACATATTAGCAACAAAAGCCCAGTGATTTACTTTTCTGATCAAATTCGTGGCATAAGAGGAAACATTTTTCCAACCCGTGCAAAAGCACCTTTCCTTCAGTGGCGTTTTCTTACCTCTCTGTGACCCATTCGAATAAGAGCATGTTCAGTTCCGTTTCCTCTGTTATGTTTATTAGCCTGGTTGCCAAACAAAATGCCTTCTAAAGGCTTCTGAGTCTAGCAGTTGCTGGCCTCTGCCTTGCATTGCTCTGCTGATGGGCAGAAGTACTTGTTGGGGTTTTTTTAGTGGTACTTGGCATTGACCAGGATAAAACTGCAGAACAAAACCTTTCTCCTGTTTGCTGCAGCAGCAACACAAAAGTGATGAAAAGTAGATATACTCTGAACTGCTAGTAGACACTTCTCTGTGTTTCTGAAACATTAATCTCATGTACTTTCTGTGTGCAGGATGATGTGGACTTCAGCTGTAGCTCCCAGATGTCTCCCATCTCTCTCTACAGCAAGAGCTGCAGGAGCCCTGCATCCCCTGAAGGAGATGGGGGGAAGAAGCCTGCTGTCAGCATCTCTTCTCGATCTGGTATGAGAGATAGAGCTACTTTGATCCCATAGATAGTATGCGATTTACTTTGATCCTATAGCTAGTATGTGTGTTGTATATGAATGATTAACTAACAGACTATAGATATCCTGTCATTTCTGACTTGAATTTTTGATCAGATATCTTTATTTTTAACAAATATTATAGATAGGTTAAAAAAAAACATACCAAAAGCCATTTTATTATTGCTTGAATTCTTTATTTTGTGCCTTCTGTTCTGACTTTTTTTCCTTTTCTAGGAAATAATTCTGTGAGGAACCTGAAGAGGTGTAATCAGACAGTGTCCAGGCCTTTGATACAGCCCAAACCCCTTTTGCCTGCTGTGCCTGAAGCTCAGGCTAACATTGGCGTCCCAGCTAAAACCATCATTATTCAGACTCTTCCCATGCTTGTACCACTGCCAAAGAGTCAGCCAGTTGTTAACATTCAGCCAGCACCTCCTAAAGGTAGGTGAATTGTCCTGACTGAGCCAGGTCTTGGGGGTAACTTTGTCTGTTCGTGTTGGCTGACAGAATGAAGTGAGGTTTGGTGCATGAAAGGGAAGGGGTAGGAGAAAAAGGGGTCCTACATGATTGGCTGAAAAAGCTTAAGGCTGAGAAGGTGGCCTTACTCCTCTCATAAGAGTCCTATGAGAAACAGCCCTTACCTGGGTGTTATTTGGAAAGGAAGACACTGGATTATAATAATTCCATTATTTGGAATGGAAGACAGAGACTGTGCTGAACTGTGGAGATAAAACTGCTGATTGGGAAAGATCTGTAGGGACCCTCTGCTGTGCTCTGCTTGTGATGTCAGGTGGTGCATAATGTGGTTACAGTGTTGTTCTGTTGTAACCAAAGGAAGGTCCAGCTGAATCAGGATGGCTTGAATGAAGCTGGAAAGCTTGGGGAAAGTGGTAAAAGCTTTTTTTTTTTTGCCCGCATGAAACTGCCACAGGATGGTGGGAACATGAGTTTATGGCTTTTTATCTCTCTAAACAGCATCAAATAGAATGTTGTGAAATCTGCTAAAAACTGAGAGCTCTGTCAGAGGTTAGAAAAGTTCCTTACAGCTGCAAGCTGATGCAAACTAGAGGCAAGTGATTTCCTGTCCCCTGATAATTCTTCATGCCTGCATAAGCCTAGGTCACAGTCAAAGCATAAGTAATTTCACAATCCCTAGAGTTTTGTGCAGTAAGGTTATTTGGGTGTTAACGTGATGATGAAGGTGTACTTGTGTTTGTAAAATGCCAGTGTGGGACCACTGAACACATTTAACCCAGAATTCATTGTCAAATTAATTAAACGTTTCGTATCCCTCCAACATACACTTTATTCAAGGCAATTTGTCATTAAGAAAAAAATCTAGTCATCCATGAACAATTCCTGAAGTTGCCCTGTAACCGATTTTTGAAGTAGCTTGAGCCTTCGTTTCTGAATCCAAAGCCTTATTTCAGTCTCCAGCTGAGGCTGTGGGGACACTGGTTGCGTTGCAGGAATTGTCAGATGCAGTTGCTCCTTTCACCAGCTGATGGCCACAGTCCCTTGTGGTTGAATGCCCAGGCACTGAGGCGTGGAAGGAAAGGGAGACAAATTGTTAAGGGCATGTATCTAGAAATTATTGCAATAGTGAAAAATTTGTCTTCGTTACTAATTGCTCTTCCATCACGAGTTCAGCCAAATCTGGAGACACTGACGTTTGTTACAAAGTGCCTAAGATTGTTAGACTGCTTAAAACACAGGTCAGCACAGTCAGCATGACCTAATTCTTATTCCTTCTGATGTTCCAGCTGATAAAATACCATCTGGAATAAGGAATGTTGGGGATAGGGAGTTTTTGGATGTAAGTATAGTACTGTGAAGATCAGCTTCTCCTTTTCCCTGAAGAAAAGTCAGGGCAGTAGTTTCTGTGAGACAGTATAGAGGAAATACTTTTGGGAAAGTATTTCCATGTGATGTTTAAGTGGTGATATGTTTAAAAATTCTATTGTGCCACTTCCATAATGGAAACCATAAGGATCTTTTTTCATCCCCTGCATATGACAGGTTGGAGCTACCAGTTTGAAATATCCCATTATCTTCAAAGGAGCATGAGAAATCGTATTTTTACAGTCCCTTTTATAAAAGCTTAAAGGAGAAAGCATGGTCTTAGAGCATCACATCCTTTATACATAAAAAAAATTTGAAATAGTCTCAAATTCACCGTTTAAGGTTCTTAAATAGGGTAGTACTAACTCGTCGTGTCTTCAAGACTGTGTCTGCAAAAAAAGGGAGATCTGATCCTGCACCCCATACATAAAAGATCTTGGCACTAGGTATATTACTTCATTTTTTGCCTTCCAGAAGATTGGGTAAATGCTGTAATACACTGTCGTGCGTTTTGGTTGGAATGCTCAGCTGGAATGTGCTGTTTCTGAAAGCTGGCGAGGTCATCCTGTTACAAAGGATTAGAGAGACGTTAATGTGTTTTCAGACAACAAAATATTACTCAAGCACCTGCTTGAGTTAAATGTAGTTGTTGGACTGAAATTTCTTGGACGTGACTGTTTTTAATTCCATTTCAAAGTCTGTCAAAATTACCTCATTTTTTCTGCCTGCTTTTCTTTAAACTCTGTTCAGCTTGTGCATAAACTTTCTTGCATAAAACATTTTTTAAAACAAATGGCCTTAGTGTGAATTGAAGCTTTAGCATAAGTTTTGAAAGTGTAACTCGCATTGTTCTTTTTTGTTCATCTTCTGTCTCTATGCTATTTTGTATCAGTCAGTGTACTATGAGTCAATTCTGTGTAGTAAGTTTTCCATTGAATACAACAATAAAGTAGGTATGAACAAAGGGGAGAAGGAGGATTGAGGAAAGCTGGCTAAGTTCTTTGAAAAAGTTGTCCAGAGTGCTTCAAGTGTTAGCAATACTGAAATGAGTAATGTTTATAATAAGTGTTGGATTTTATTAACTTTGAAGAGCTTTTGGGAGAGAGTTTGATTTATTGGATCCCTTTAATATACGTAAGTTTAGTTTGCAGGATGGATTAAGAATCCTGCAAACTTTTAAACTTTTTTTTTCTGTTCCTATTCTGTGCAATATACTAGTGGATCTAAGATAAATTGTGCAAGGCAGGTGGGGAAGCAAGGCTTTCTACCTCCTCTATCAGTATGACCCTACTGTACACCAAAGTGATGGTGTACAAATCCACTCCATAGGTGCTGAACTCTGCTGTTTGTTCTTGTGTTCCAGGTCAATCAGTGGTGCTCCCCCAGCCCTCCGTGGTGCAGCTTCAGGCTTCTGGGGTGCTTCCTGCTTCCCAGCCAGTCATTGCTGTCACTGGAGGGACCACACCACTTCAAAACCACACGGTGAATGCGTTGCCTCCAGCTGCTGGAAATGGCTCCACAAGTGGGAAAATACCAGTGACTAAGCCCTTGCTTCAAGGCAGCACACCAGCAATGGGGCTGGATGTAAGTTCTGACTGTGTGTGATAGCTGATAACCAAGGCTTGGAAACAGCTCTCAGTTACCTATTGTATAATAGGTATTGTGGCACCTAATGGGATAACCAGATCCCTTCAGAGTCTCAGGGAAACTCTAATAGGATTTCTAACGTTAAACAGGGAGTCTGGCAGCTTGGCAGAGAACGGGGATGAGCAGCTTGATATCTGCTGACCTACCTGGAGTTGCAGACCAGGGATGCAGGCATAGCAAAAGACAGTGATGATACATTTTTTCCATCATTTTTCTTCTCAAGTGCAAGCTCTCAAGGTCTCTTACATACAGGAAGATATATCTTATTTTTGATTAGTGCTAAACCATTTTTCTAATCCATATAATAAAAACACTCCTTTTGAAATAAATGAATTGGAAATGTCACTGTGTAGTTCTTTTTCCATCCCCCTTTATCTCCCCAGATTTTACTTATGATTTTTAGAAACTTCAGGTGTTGAGTTTCATATGAGCTTAATCTCTTCAGGCTCCCTTTTGGTCATATACTGTATGAGTAGAAAAGGTGTAAGCTCTCAACAATCCCTGTGCAAATAAAGAAGTTTTTCCATAGTAGCTCACAATAAGCAGTAGGTGTAAACAGAAATAGCTTTTGATATGTGTGGGGTTTTTTTTCCCCTTTCAGCTTTGACATCTTAACTAGATAGAGAGCTGGGTGTTAAGTTGATTTAGTTCCTAGTAATTTGGAGCTGCTTTGGTTGCATTTTGTTGTCCAAAGAAGGCATAGTTGTGAAGAATACCAAAGCTTCTTGATTGTGGCTTTTAAACTCTGAGTGTTGTTCTTCAGTGTCATATTCTGGAAGCCATTGTGAGCTGAGGGTCCTATCACGTCTCTCAGTGTAAGGGAGAAAACACTGGTGTCCATTCACATGGAATTTTGCTGTATTAGCTTATTAGCAGTGCAGGTCACTGTATGTCAAAGGCATGTGCCTTCAGCTTCTTTGGAGGGATGTTGCTGTACAGTTTCCTCATGTCTGAGAATTGCCACTCGTGCTTGATATTAAATTTTCCTCACTAATTGTATTTGTGTGGGGGCTGCATTTTATAATGAAAAATAACGTGCTACAAATAATTCAGGAGACAGAGTGCAATGAAAACTTGATATTGAATTCACGAGAAGCTAACAAAGTTCTGACAGGAGACAGTTAAGAGCACTGCATTTTTAAATGGTATTTGCCTGCTATACAAAGCCAAACTGAAGAGACCTATCAGCAGTCATTTGATTTGCAATTCCCTGTAACCAGGACTAACATGGCACCTTGCCATTGTCTGAATATAAGGGTTAATTGACAAAACCCACTTTCTGTCATTTTACTCGATGTACACACCCGTGACAGTCACTAGTCAAATGTGTAGCCGGGTAATGATCAGCTGTTTGTTTCGAAGGATGGTTGCATGGGTATTTCCACCCAAAGCTGTTTTAGGGCAGCAGTTTTAGGGCTTGTGAAATACTGCACATTGTACCTGTGTTTGTTGAAACATGAAGGAACAGTTGCAAATGCTCTTCGGCACATACTGTGAAAAAGGGCTTTGAGAAGGGACAAATGTTTTGGGATTCAGCTGGCGCCAGCAGGGTTAAAACATCTCGCGGCTGCCTCGGACGCCATATGTGGGCTCAGAGCTGCACAGATGTAGCTGTCATTTGAGCTCTGTAACACGTGTTTTTGTTTGCTAATCTGAGCAGATGTTGCGGGATAAAAAGAAACACTGCAGGACTTTCTTTTGGGCTTAGGAGGGATAAACTGTTGGCTTAACACTCAGCCCTTGCAGTGGGTTATACCGAGATGGGCCGATAGCAAGCTGTTGGCGTGAGGCCCCTCGTGGTGCATGTCCTGGTGGCACATGTTTGTGCAGCCTGCCAGCCGTGGGGAAGTGCCAGGCTTTCTGGGCAGTCACTCCTCACTGGGAAACAACCTTCCACTGGGAAGTTGAACAAAAGAAACGCTGCCTAAGCAGGCCACTCTTCCGGTTGAAGGAAAGAGGCTCTTAATGAAAAGAAACAGATTGCCTTTCCTGTTGCAGTTAAATGATATGAGGGCATAAACTGTAGGTGTGTGAAGCAATTCGGTTTGTGTCCTTATAGGGCCTTTCTCTCATGTTTCCACTTCGTAGTGAGAAAGGATTTAATTCTGCCTCCCAGTTATCTTGATAAAAAAAATTTCAAAATCTAGAAAAAATTAGATTATGAAAAGTTCCTTCAGCATAGATGTGGATTTCTATTGAAACATTTTTTCTCTGCTGTACATTGTGTAATATTCATATGAAATAAACTCAAGAAAACCCAGAACTTCCATAAGAACAGACAAAAAACTTGTATAGGTTTTGCATTCCTGCATTTGAGATGCATCATTAAAGAGAGCAGCTTTTGTAAGCCGAGTTAAGAAGCCAGCCAATGCAAACTTGAAATGATTTGTACTTTCAGCTCTTCATTAACTTTCCCTATGTTTGTACAGAAAACTCTTTGGAGTGTGAGAGATGTTCTTACTGCCTTGTGCTAAAAGTACAGCTTGCATTGGAATGGAGATTAAATTTTGCTCATAATTGAGTTTTCTTTGGAAGTAAATTGAGGTAGCGGTGTTTGTTCTTTTTTCCTAAAGTGCATGGCTCTTCCTAAGACCTCTGCAGATAGAGGACAATCTGAATCTAGTTAATCCTGTTCAAAGCAAGAGTTGGCAGTGAACCTTTCAGTTCTCCATATTTACAACATTCTTATGTGCTAGTGGTGGTGTAGTTTTTAAAGCTAGGAAGCAGAAATTGCTTCGCTGATTACTGTTTGATGTTAAGGCATATGTTTTCCCTCTATGGTCTGTGTTTCCTGAGGACCAGAAGTTACTATTTTGAGTGGAAAATTAATACAACACAACTTAAAAAGTGGAAGGCTGCAAAAGAAGTTAGCAGGGGTGTTTGCTGCGTTTAATCTTGGTTCAGGACTTGTACAGAGCAATGTTGCTCAAGCAGGCTGACTTTATAAATTAGTTCCTCTCTCTTCTGATTATCAAAGTGCTCAAGCAGGGAGCATGTTTATTTTGATGCCAGGCCAGCTGTGTAGTGCTTATTGCTATACTGCTTCCACGTTCAAGCATTCTTGCACCATTTCACTCCCTCAGCTCTTCCCATTTCCTGCATCAGATTTAGGTGGGATTGGGTGTGTAGTTGAGGCTTATTTCCCAGGAAAAGCCCGACAGGAGCTAGAAGGTTGACCAAAGGCCTTAGATTTTTTAGGGATTGTAAATTAAATTAACTCAAGGATGCAAATATTGGATTTCATGTAAGCAAGCTTAAGAAATGAGTCAAAATGAAACTGGTGTGGCATAGACCGAAATGCAGTTATTGCTCAGAGCACCTTGAATCAGGCTGGGTAGAGCTGCTGTCCCTCCAGCATCTGGAGGACAGTGAGCAAAGGAGGGCAGTCTGGATGAGATGAACAGTGAGCAAAGGAGGGCAGTCTGGATGAGATGAACAGTGAGCAAAGGAGGGCAGTCTGGATGAGATGAACAGTGAGCAAAGGAGGGCAGTCTGGATGAGATGAACAGTGAGCAAAGGAGGGCAGTCTGGATGAGATGAACAGGGAGCAAAGGAGGGCAGTCTGGATGAGATGAACAGTGAGCAAAGGAGGGCAGTCTGGATGAGACGAACAGTGAGCAAAGGAGGGCAGTCTGGATGAGATGAACAGTGAGCAAAGGAGGGCAGTCTGGATGAGATGAACAGTGAGCAAAGGAGGGCAGTCTGGATGAGATGGACAGTGAGCAAAGGAGGGCAGTCTGGATGAGATGGACGGTGAGCAAAGGAGGGCAGTCTGGATGAACACCCTGTGAAATGTAGCTGGCAGTGTCTGGAACAGCGACAGATGTACCTCAGATGTACTCTTTGTGTACAGGCACTGCACTGGTGCTAATACCATGTTTTCTGCAGGGAAGCACGTTGATTTGCCAGACATTTAATTAAAAGCTATCCGGTAATGAATAATCCTAAGCAGGTCTGCAAACAAGAGTGGATGTAAACAACTTGATCTTCTCTGTTTGACTTCATGATGCAAAACCTCTTTTCAAAAAGAGGAGTGTAACTGCTTGCTTGGAATATCTCACAACTCGAGCCAAAGCTGCTGCATGAACTCATTCCTTATTATTTCATCTGTGTACAGTTTAAGTGATCCTGGCCCCAAATTGGTGTGTTCTATACACTGCAGTTCTTGGCTAGCCCAAATGGGGTTTTTTTGTCCAATTTTTATATGTCTGCAGAATTTTTTTTTTATGTTGAATGTTGTAGTACTTAAAAAATTCAAGACAAAGCTTAGTGTTAATGAAAATATGTTAAAATCTTTTCATTCTCCACTCTGCTAAAGAGAGATACTGGAGTAAGTACAAACAGCTACACTTTCACAGACTTTTGTTGGTGGCAACAGGCTAGACATATAATAAATGATCTTTCTAAAAAGCAAGTAGACCAACATGGGGGCAGCCCAGAATGTTAATGCACTGTAACGTGTTTTCTTAGTTTTTGTCACCAGCCTGCAGCATGATGAAGAAGAATGTCGTCTTCAAACAGCCTGTAGCCACTTTTTTTTGCAGACACCAAAGCCCTAGAGCAACATATTGTCTGCGTGCAGGTATATACAAGGAGGGAGTTGGAAAGCTGTGGTTAAGGTTCTTTACAAAGCCAGGCCTTAGCCAGAGCACACTGTCTGAATTAGTTAATGTTACTATTCTGTGATTTGTTATTTTTTCCCTAGAATAATACTTCTGGAATAGTTCTCATCTGTTTTTCTTTAACTTTCCTTCTCTGATAAGTACAGGTCACTCCAGTGCGTGTGTTGGCAGCTACTGGAGGATATTCAGGTCTGTGTAAGATAGAGCATTTGATTATCTTTCAGAGTAATTGTCATTAAGGCACGTCCAGTTGTAGCTTAATAATGAGATGGAAGTCTTCTGTTCTTAATGAAAACAGAGTTGCTGTTGCTAATCTGTGAGGGAGAGAAAATCAACAGAGTAGTGTTTAAACTTAATATTTCAAGTAGTTTTGTACAGTTCTGCAGTATCCATCATTGTTATCCTTGTCAGCAGCAAGATGCTTTCAGTCTGGGTCATCCCACTCAGTGCAAACCACAGAATGAGTAAGTGGTAAAAGACAATGGAGTGTTCCTGCTTGGGAAAAAAAATCAGCCACCAGGACTGTTGGAGGATGGGGAGGGGTTACTTTGAACTGTCCCAGTCTGGTCTTGCAGACTGAATGCCTGCTAGTGCTCTCCTGGAGCATATTTGCTGGTTGAACTTCATCCTGAAGCAATCCAGTTTGTGTGCTCTTTCAGAGTCTGTTCTGTCATGTGAACCAAAGCACATTAAGTGGGACAATCAGGAAATGTGCATCAAAGCCACTCTCCTGATCTGAATTAAAATGTTAGTATAGATGCACCCGGAGACTGCATTTAAACTGCCATGTAAGTGCTTGATACACGTAGAATGTGCAATCTGAGGCCAGCAACAGTATTCAAAAGCTCAAAAACGATATAGCATAGCTGGAAAAGGTACATAAGCAGATGTAATCAGTGTGGAAATGGTTTCCATGCAGAATAGACTGTAAAACTGTAGAACTTCCCTGTTAAGAAAGGAGGTGACTGATTGTAGCCTATAAAATGGTGCATGGTAAAGTGAAGGTGAATGACATTCTTGCTGTCTTGCAGACCTGAAGATGTGTATTTTCTGTCTTTGTGATTTGATTGATCAAACTGCTGTTCAAGTATACATTTTGTGTCCCCTGTACATAGGAGGTTGAGAATGCAGGAAAAAACAGGCGGTGCAGGGCCCGTTTTTTCATTATCCCTGAGCTACGACTGAGAGGTGTAACCATGTGCTGAACATTTCGGCTCATTTGAAGCAGAGCGTGAGAAACCATCTGTGCAGACTTTTGACAAAGTGGAGAAGCAGAAATTATGCATGAAATAGAGGCACTTTTAAACTTGTGAATTGTTAACAGGCCTGTGTTTCGTCTGTTCAGGTCAATGTCTTGAGACGGCAGCAGCGCATGATCAAAAACCGCGAGTCGGCCTTTCAGTCACGCAAGAAGAAGAAAGAATACATGTTGGGACTGGAGGCGAGGCTGGAGGCAGCCTTGCTGGAGAATGAGAAACTCAAGAAAGAAAATAGCACACTGAAGAGGCAGCTGGATGAAGTAGTATTAGAGGTAAGACATTGTGATGAAAGTCTGACTTTATATCAAGACACTTGTTCAGGTGCAAGGCGCTAGAACAGAATCGTGGAAATGTTGTCTGGAAGACCTTTGGGGATTTCTAGACCAGCCTCCCACTCCAGACATGGCTTTCACCAACTCTGGGTCAGGACACCTGTCACATTACCTGGTTGATTTTTAATTCTTTACTCCATGGTGCTTCTTGAGATTTCACTGAGAAGATAGATGGGGTAGAAGCTGAATATAACGTACAAACAAAAGTTTTATTTTTAAATAGTCCTGGCATGTATTCATACATAATTAGGCAAATATAAATCTAAAAAGCAAGCATCATTTGGTGTATTTAGCTTCTGACATACATTTGCATATCTGTGCCCCTCTTCTATTGCACATCTTCTGATTTTTTCCTGTCTAGAACCAGAAACTCAAAGTATCATCTCCAAAGAGAAGGACCCTGTGTGTGATGGTGATACTGGCTTTTATAATGCTCAATTATGGCCCATTGAGGTAAGCTGCTTAGAAATTCCTCTTTGCATAGCAAGTTTTCTGTTCTGCAAATTTTGTTTGAATCATTAATACAGGCAGCAGTGTGTTTTAAAGACGAGCTTGAAGTCTGACTTCTGTCCTTTATTTTTTTCCTGGTTAAGGGAAGATGTATCTGCATAATGGTTCTTTTTTTTTTGGACTTCTTCTGGCAACAAGAGCTAGATCTTGTACTTTTAATTTCTCTTGGCTTGGCATTTTGTTAATCAGTGCAGCCCAGAGCAGTTTGTCTGCTTGATTTATATCTGAAGAGATTAAGAACTGTGTTTAGAATCCTTTTAGGAAAAAAAGTTACAGACTTAGAGAGCTTATCTGGTCGTTTATACCTGTGCTGATTTCAGTACCTGTAAGATGAAGCTGCATTAGTATCCAGTGAGGAAATCCCTCTGTATGTTCCAGTGCTTTGCAGTCCTGACCTTTAGATGTGTCTAGCTGCAATCTCCCTTGTTATTATGAGCCCTGCATTACTTGTCTTCTAGATTTGGTGAAGAGGTTTTTCCCTCTCCTTGATTAGTCGAAGTGATAGTCAAAAAACTCTCATTTGAACTGTTATCAGTGGGGCATAGGAACCAGAGAGCAGGAGGGAAATGCTAGCATTACTTCCCAGACACTTTAAAATAAAGATCCGTGGAAGAAAGGAGAGTAAAAAGCAGTACTTCTTGGACATACTTGTTTATTTAATTTGACTTTGGAACATAAAGGGTTTTTATACAAAGCAGTTCGCTTTTTCAAAAGGGGATAATGTTTCAGTAGATTCTCAGTCAGCAGTGTCTCCATTTGTCCTCAAAACCCCAGTCAAACTACAGAATGGAATGGGATAAATATGGAGGAAGACTTTGTTTCTGACTGTGCTAAATTTTTAGAATGTTGGTGTTTGTATTTTTAATAATATTAGCAAATCCGCTAAAGCTGAAATTACTTTTGAAGTATTTGCACTTATTGCAAATACTGTGTATCTCAGGCAGTGAAATACAGCTGATAATTTTACTTTGATATGGATAAGGTAGACCATTTCGTAATGCATTTAGGGTCTGTATCAGCTTCCAGAGATTAAGTGATGGATTTTTACATCCCATCTGCATTTCAAATGTTACCACTCGCTTGAGAGAGACACTTGGTGAGAACTACTAGAATTAGTTATCTTTCTGAAGCTGAGGGAAATTCTAGTTGTCTCTGCATTACAGTGAGGTGATGGAAAGCATGAAACTCTTGTTAGTGATAAAAGGCTTGGGAACATGGAGAGATGAAGGAGAAGTCTTTTACCACAGTGCTCTAAAGCTCCTGTGGCAGCTTCTCTACCCCCGGAAATGAGTAAGCTGGTGAGTTTGATGGCAAGGCACTTCTGTCAAAGGAGGCTGAAAGGTCAGCTTGTGTTCATATCTTTGCAACAGTCAGTAACTATAGAAATGTGAGAGGGTTAACTTCTTGACATGTTTGACGTTTAATAAAGTAGATAAAGCAAAAAAGAAATCCTTGGATGTCTGGCTGTTCCTGGCCAGTGCAGTAGCTGAGCATGCCAGTGTGACTGCTGTGCCTGAACCAGGTGGTTTGCATCAGTACTGGATTTAGGCAGTGAAATGTAATTGCAGACTTGCCTTTTTTTTTTTCTCCCTAGCAGAATAAATGCTTTGCACTGCAATTAAAATCCTAGACTTTATCAAGGTGGTGTGAATGATGATTGTGCAATACTCTTTGGAAGACCCAGAATGTGAGCTATACAAACCATTTCTTTAGATTTCACTCCTCCCATACGTGTTTTCTTCCTTTTATAAAGGTGTCACTGAATGGTAGCTCCACAAATGCGATAGTCAGGATTGCTGTTCTGCTTAGTCCTTAACAAGAGGAGCTTCCAGTGTATGTGCTGTTTTTCAGCACCTGCAATTTCTTACAGAAAGAAGTAATTTTTTGTTACAATATCCATGCTAGCTTACAGTTCAGCAAAAGTACTCTTTTCCCCCAAGTTAGCTAACTGTGGAATACCTAATTTCTGTGCAGTGATCAGCTGGAGATAAATATGTTCTGAAACCTTGTGACAGTGTTGCCATTTCTTCTGTGTTGGAAATCATTTCACTTGCACACCTGTGTGGAGATGTGCCAGCATTCAGGCTCAGGATGTTTTGATTCGGGCATATTAGCAGTGAATAATTATTCAAAACCAGTGAACCATTGCAAAGGGAGAGTGACATCCAAAAAAAAAAGCAAAATCATGGGAAATTCACCCCCTAAATTCTAGAGCAGACTTTGGAATTCCCTTAGCCGTCTTTATTGTGAGACGCTTCTCAGGTTCTTAGCTGGAAGTGATAGGATTCTTTGAAGACTTGAGGTAAAACAGAAGGTCAGATATATAGATTTTCTCTTTGGTTATCTATTTCTGTCAGGTAAGAGAAAGAGAAGCAGTTGGATTGTTTTGGGACAGGAATGTGAAGCTGAAGAACAGACAGTCCTGCAAACCCTCCATGGCCTGCAGTGGGTCGATGGAGGTGCAGTGTATGGGCACTCAGCATCCCACAAAAAATCCCATCTGGATGATTGGCTGTGTAGTTAGTTCTGTGTTTTCCTCTGCATTAATGGGTGTGTGTTGCACTAATACTGGCTCACACATAACTTTTTTAGATTGGTCGTAAGTCTTGTTGACTGTGTATTTGAGTGGTGAGATGTTTGTGATGTTTCATGGAGGACTCCAAGACTGCTGTTCTGCTGTTTTAGGATTATGGGAAGCAGTCCAGGATGTGGCAGCCCTTGGCAAACAAGTTTAGCAGATAAAATTATTCTGCTGCCACATTTTTTCATGCTGACAAACATCTGTATGGGTAATCTGTAATGTTGAGTTTGGGAATATGGGAGTGGGGCCGAAAGTCTGGTAGGGAAGTTGGCCTGTTGACACAAGAAATCTGTTGGAAAATACTGGAGGAAGAGTCTAGTCCAGTCTGCTTAGTTGCCAACAAGCTTTTAAGAACATCCTTCAGTCTTGGACACGGCACCAGGTTATCTCTAAGAAATGAATGTAAGTGTAATTAAATATAAATTGAATATCAGTGTAAATTGAGGATGTGAAAGTGGCTTGTATGGAGTTAGTGGTAACTCTGCATTAGGTTGTACTGTGTTACTAAACTGTTGGGTTTGTTGATTGTTTATATAGAAAACAGAAACTTTCAGTTACTAAAAGCAGAAGTAATTTAACAGGAATTGTATTAGTGTAAGTTTCTATTTTATCTGTTTGTTTTACACTGAAAGAAAGGCACCCAGGAATTTCCCATCTGTGTGTCAGTGAACTATTCTGTAATCTTTGTGAATTATTTGGGTTTGGACTTAACATGTATAAAAACCTCCTTTTATTATTATTAAAGAATGATTGGTGAGGTGTACGAAGGGAAAAGGGTATGTTTTGATCCAGCTCCTTGCAGAGGTCACCCCCTTGCCCCAGTCTTGCATACCATGAGGTGCAAGACAGGAATTGGCAATCCGGGGTGTTTGCACGAGAGGCAGTGAGCACACAGACCTTGGCACAGGCAGGGTTGGGAGCTGGGACCACGGCACCTGGAGCAAGGTATCTGTGGGATCTCCTGCCTTCACATGTGCCTTCTGTGAGAGGCAGGCCAGTCACTGCAGCCGCATTCCCAGCTGGCTTCTGGCACTGAGAAACACCTAGTTTGCTGTGCATTTTTGTTTTACCACTTACTACGTGGAATCTGAACATTTTCAAATTATTACAGTTCCTAGATGCCTTTTTTTCCCCTTGCTTCATTTCCACATTTGTGTTAGACGCTGCCTGTATAGTAACCAGATCTGAAAATGTGTTAAACAAGCACAAACAAGGCTGAAACAAATGGAAACCAAGCCCATGTTCTACTCTAGACAACCTGTGTATTTATTTTGGGAATATTTTTATTTTGATTCTGTTCCCCATTTGAATATAAATTGTCTTGTGTGTTTTGGTTTTTTTTAAAATGCAAATCCTAAATGTGATAGTAACATTTGCAGGAAAATAACCAATGTATAAAAATCAGGGAAGGGAGAATGATCACAGAAGAAGCAAAAGATAATTTTCCTTCATATCTTCTTCTTGGGAGAGTAGCAGCAAAGCATGTAAGGCAGGTATTTGCTGGTGACCTTAGCATTATTTTTTGGCTATGAAAAAATGTTCAACTACTTATTTTTTCCCCCATAATCAGTCTGCTCAAGCTTACATGGTAGCTGTCATCTAGCAGTAGCCTTAGAGCATTAATTAAGATGTCAGCCAACCAGAATGTGTCCTAAGTACCATTTCGGATATTTAGTGGACAGAAAACAAAATAAAATATGAAGTTGGAAAGAGGAAAGGCAAATTTGCAAAGAGATTGGAACAGGAGGTTTGAGAGGGTGGTATGATATTTTATTTTTTTTTTTATTTTTATTGCTTTTTTGTTATCTTACAAGTTGGCCACCTCTGTACGATTGGAACCTCTTTCAAACTGAAAAACAGACTTATGGTGTAAAGAAAATTTCTTAAGCTGTATTTGTGGTGGAGGATGACTGAGATGGTGATTGATGGAGCTCAGTAAAGCTGCTGCTGCTGCTTCAAAACCTCTCGTGTCCTGTTGACCTAAAGCAGCTGCGCTAGAATGGCTGGCCTTTTACAGAAACTTCATTGCAGCTCCTCTCTAGGGTGTTCTCATGGGTTTTCCTCTGCTTTCCAGGACTATCCTGGAAATTGAATAATCTATTAAAAATTTAGATCCAGTGACCAATCTGCAAATAAAGACACTGGCCTGGCCAGCTGAGAAATGTGATTTTTCTGCTATTGTCATGGACTACAGCAAATGAAGAAGCAGTGATTTTTTTGACTCCTGAAAGACTTTGGGGTGTGTCTCATTCCTTAAATTGGTAGCACAAACAGGAAAAAAGAAACAAAACACCAAAACCAGAAGTGGTAAGATTAATCATCTTTTACTAAAAATGAAGAAATTGCCCAAGGATTGTTCAGC